TCTCAATGATCGTAAAAATGCTCTCAGCGTATAATAGATTGAGAAAAAAGAGAAAAAAATCCATCATCTGTAAAAATCACATCACATTCGAAAGTCTCTGCCTAGTGAAATGTGTAAAAATCGTGAAAGTTGAATAGTAGGATCGAACGGGCACACAGATCAACTACGAATAATATGAAGCGAATCACGTGGGGTCAAAGTGTATCGACAAACAAAACCCCAAGAGTAAACATGTACGTAAACTCTTCTACCATGAACCTCCCCTCCTCCCCCTCCTCCTCCCACGGCGAGAGATTGCCATCTCTTGTGTGAGCGATAGAAACAAACAAAGCCCAAGCTCTGACATGCGAGATCCAAAAACTGTTCGGTGGTGGTACTTTTTAAACAATCATAATTTATTATTTTTTAAAGAGTTTCACTGAGAGTTTTATGACGCTTGCAACAACAATAAACCAAATAAGTGCCGAATATTACAGTTGTTACTAAATATCACGAGAATCTATAAGCACCGCAGTGGGTGGACATCCCGCAGTTTATTGGGACCCGATAGCTAAAGATAGACAGATGGATGGATGGGTGGATGGATGGAGGGAAGAATGGATTGATGGATGGATGGATGGATGGATGGATGGATGGATGGATGGATGGATAGGCAGATGGATGAATGGATGGATGAATAGACAGACAGACAGATAGATAGATAGATAGATAGATAGATAGATAGATAGATAGATAGATAGACAGATAGATAGATAGGTAGATAGATAGATAGATAGATAGATAGATAGATAGATAGATAGGTAGATAGATAGATAGATAGATAGATAGATAGATAGATAGATAGATAGATAGGTAGATAGATAGGTAGATAGGTAGATAGGTATACAGATAGATAGATAGACAGATACGATAACAAATATAGCGGGAGAGAGAGAAAGAGAGAGAAAGAAACGCAATCCCATGAATAAGTAGTGTACACTGGCCATTACGCCCTCCATATGGCAGTGCTGTATGTCGTAACGGGCCCTGGGAAGAATTAGCCCTGTCTCGGTCGGCCGCAGCCACCCACCATCAGCCACTACACAAACAATAATTGGATAAGAGGTGGGGACAGACTCCCTGTGCGCGTGTTCTTGCTCTCTAGCTCTCTCTCTCTCTCTCTTTCTTTCTCTCTCTCTCTCTCTCTCTCTCTCATTCTTTCTCTCTCTCTCTTCTCCTCTCTCTTCTCTCTCTATATATCTCTCTCTTCTCTGTCTCCCCCTCTCTTTCTCTCTCTCTCTTCCTCCTCCTCTCTCTTCTGCTTCTTCTCTGTCTCTCTCTCGCTCTCCCTCACCCTCTCTCTCGCTCTCTCTCACTCTCTCTTGCTTGTGTGAACCATTGTATTATTGTTTATGTGAAAAAGTACATGTATGTGTATTTACGCTTGTGAATGCACGCACGCGTGTTTGTGTGGGTGAGACTGTACGTGTGTTTACGTGAAAGAGTATCTGTATACATAAAAAGTGAGTCGCATTGTTTGAATTTGAATTTGTGAGAGTAATTGTTTGTTTGTGATTGTGTGTGTGGGTGGGTGTGTGTATGTGAGAAAGAGAGACAGAGAGAGAGTCCAGAGAGAGAGAGAGAGTGTCCAGAGAGAGAGAGAGAGAGAGAGAGAGAG